GTTTTTCCGCCTAACGAGGCCCACTCGAGCAGGCTTCGAATGCAAGGGTCATTTCTTCGACATTCGACTGAAAAGAAACTTTGCTATACGTCACGGGATGCGATCGCGATTATATCGTAATTAAATCGCAATGAAATGACAAGATCGTGCAATGAAATGAGTACCGATGTATACATATTTAAAGTTGCCGGTGGAAGAGCCAAAGAGAGAAATTATCGAGTACGAGAGGGGTAAAAAAGGAGCGGAGTTCCAGATTTTTTTCTCGACTTTTTTCATAAATTAACGTCGACTCTCGCGGAAAGAGGTAAACGGCGCAGCGCACAGAGAGTGAGAAAGAATACGAGCTGGCAGTGAAAACTTTCTAACGAACTGGGAAATTCGAACTGCCGCAGCGAGAGGAACGTCGGGTTCAATCAGTGCTCCGATACGCGCGCGTATATATACCTATGTAGAAATTACGCTGGGTATATATTTTATACGCGCGTACGTCGAGTATTGTACGACGTGTAATGGCTGTTGGACTCGACCTCATATATACATACAGCTGCAGCCATATGCACTGCCACGTGTAATTACATTTTTTTATACACGTGACTCATTTAACAATGGCCGGCGTTATTATTACACGTGTACTATTCGCGCTCGGATTTAATCAGCCAACAGCTCGTCGATCGCATAACGAGACGACGCTCGGATCGCGACAAATACCGTGGCAACGTGTTTGCGCGTATACATAATGTAAACGAATCCTCGTCGAATCGCGTAGGAGTCGAGGATTTCTGAAAAGCCGAGAAGAGGAGTCATGCCGCTGCTGTTGGCTGCACGAGGAGCTCGTGCCACGTGCAGCGTATACGCCACTGGCGAGGCAGAAATCCCCGGATGTATAAAATATATATACGCGTCGCGCTGGTATTTGTATTATGAGATATCGCACGAGCACTGCTTCGAGGACTCGACGTATATACGCATAGCGACGCACGAAGCGAAGAGATAAAAGCCCAGTCCGATAATCTCGTGAACGAGAGCTGCGACGACGAGTATATCCGTCCTCATGGACTATGGTGCAGCGCTGATAAACCGGAACATATGACTGCGTTCATATAAGCTCAACGAGCGATACGACTCGAGCTTGTCGATTGCAGACGCGCTATGTTGGCAAAGTGACCGCCATTTATATTTGCATACACGCGGGTCGATCAGAATCTATTTGTGCTGCGGAGGGAACGATCGAGACTCGACAATTTATACATACATATACGCGGCAGGAATTCGAGGATTCCTTTGGTACTTTGCGAGCTTTATACGTTTCTTTATTCTCGAGGTACAAGGCACATGTGCCAGAAGTCAAGGGACGTCAATCGATCGTAAAAATGAATCAACAGTATAGAAGTAAAAGTCCGCAAATAAGCATGCCAATGACTTTTCCGAATATCTAACGGATGCATACAACGTATACATGATATATCGCCGGTTCGAGCAGTCGAGCAGGCCAACGTCCACGAAAACGATCGGTGCTTCGTTAAATTACACGTATATCCCGACTCGAGCTTATAATTTTACTAGAAATGTCAAATGGTCGCAGAATTTCCCCAGTGGATCGTAGGCGTTCTCGCGGCGCAACTATCAAACGGTATACGAAACAGCTGAGAGGCTGCGCTGCCCGTTGCACGAGGGAGCTTCAAACTTTGCGCTCAAACTAGCGGCCGTTTTAATTTAATCAAATGGACGGCTGCGTATATAACTATGTTCGGGCCATTTATCAAGATCGTATTAGGCCGGTGACTCGCGCTACGTAGCATCCGTACAATATATACTCGAGTATCAAGAAGCTACGCTGTCGCTCGAACTCGTAATCTCGAATGCGCTGCGCGCGGCGCGTCTTATATGCTCCGCGTGCGCCCAAAGCTCCGGCTTACGGATGACAAGGACGACGACTAGCGTATTTATATAGGAAAAGCAAGAAGTATCCCGAATGGAATTTGCAGCCGCTCGCGTAGAGGATTTTCGCCAAAGCTAATGTAGCAGCTCGGAATGAAATAATTTTCAATTGCAACTACGAGCTTAATTCCTACTCTTACGACTTACGGCATTTTATATTTTATACGCGGGTGAAAGTTAATATTTGCTCGTCGCTCCGATCGCGTATAATTATTTTACGCCGCGCTTTCACTAGGAGCTTCGTTATACGATGTGGCTGCGTCGATGATGCGAATTACGATTATCGAAGCTAGCGATGACAACGAACTGGTGTTTAAGACGCAATGGTCACAGTTATAACTGCTGATTTTGCACCAAAAAATTCTTAATCCAATATAGAATACGTGAGAGTGGAAAATGATTGCATTAACAACCGATCTAGCGTGGAATTCCGTTCTTACTCGGGTCCATAACACTCGTATGTTCACTCGAGCCTCGAATTGCACGTGCGATCATTTGTATCAATCATCAAATACGCATGCTCCATTATATACGGTAGGCACGCGTGTTACAATTGTGGGATCGTGTAGGCAATTGCCCAAGTTATTACCGGCAAAAATGTGCCGGGCTAATTGAAGCCTATTCGGGCGTGAGATAGCTGCGCGAGTACTATTTATATACACAGCACAGACGTTCGCCGCGTCCAGCACTCGGCAAGTGCATATAATTGACGGCGTATTAGCGTCAATAAACAGTCGCTCTTTTCATCGCGTCGCGCGCGCTATCGCGTACGTCCTGTCGTAAGCGCTCCGAAAACGACGCGCCGCACGACGTACGCACTCGTTGTGCTCCGAATCAATCGCCTTTGTACGCGGCTACGAGCACACATAATACCGAGTACGTGTGTGCGTATGATATAAATAGAACCAAGAGTCGTCGAGTATATGACTGTAGCCGTACCATAGCCGCTTATCGAGTCGAAGAAATGCAATTGTTGGACTTCCTCGTTGGACAATCGCATCTGCCTACAGGATGTGCTGCAGCTCGAGTTTTGTACGAGTGCAAGAATGAAAATATATAATATCGCGTGTGTACAGGAACGCGTTGGCGCGCACAATCGAACGCGATTCTGTCTGTCTTTTCGACCAATTCGACGAAATTAAGAATCGTAAAAGTGTCCGCGTGCGCACAATTAGCCTCGTCGTAAGGCCGATAGCTCTAGCACCGGGAGAAAATATCATAATTGCATTGAAAGGCGAGACGCACGAGTTTGAGCAGCTGAGCGAGAGAGAGAGAGAGAGAGAGAGAGTATATATGAAACCCGCAGTAGCAGCAGCAACTCGTATACTGCAAACTACTGCTATACACTTGAATTTTGGCTTTGAAAGTTTTACGTTTACAGAGCCGCCGCACAACGACGACGACGACGACGCCGAGTGCACAAGGGACAGGTCGGGCCAGCTTTGCACTGCGCTATACCGCGTGAAAAGAGACTTTGCGCTTCGATCCTGCAGCACACGAATGCAGCCGGGCTTCTCCGGGTCGGCGATGTTTACAGAGGCAGCTGCTGCACTTGCGGAAGATAGTTCGCAAAGTAGCTTTCCTGCGCGTCAGGAAATTCGCTACTCGAGCTTGCAGTGGACGCGCAGCGCCTACGTATTTATGTATGAGCGTGTGTACGCGCGACTGACATACTCTACCGCAAAACTAAGAAATATAAATTTACCACGACCATAGCGGTTTATTTTTTGTATTTTAGATGGGCGTGCGAGTATCCTATGAAATTCGACTCGATCGAATAGAGCTTTTTTTTTTAATTTGAGTCAAGTGTTTGAATTTTTGTGTACTCGATTTGTTATCTAGTGCACGAGTTTGTTTTGCAAGAACATGACGTTTTTCGAGTTTTGAATCTTTGTTTCATAAGGTTTAACCCAATGGAAGGTTACAAAATATAAGAAAACTCATACAGAACAATTTTTGCCACATAATCGATTACGAGTTGGCTTCAAGTCGAGTTAAGCTCGAAAAATCAGGTACTAGTACAGCCCTATAATCTTTTCATCGGCCTTATACCGTTGTCACTGCATTAGAGTACGTGCACAAACGGACAACGCAATTGTGAAGTTCAAATAGGACCGATCAAGCTATATGCGAACAAAATCTAGTCAAAGTTAGCGAAGGAGGTCGAGTAGCAGTAGCAGCAGCAGCGTCGACGACGACATACACGACATTACGCGCAGCTTATCTAGAAACAGAAGCCAAATAAGCTCGATTAAACTTGCCTCTGGAGAAGCTATATGCGTCTCTCTCACTCTCTTATACATGTAACTTGTCTAGTTAGTTTACCCACCTGTTTGTATAAGCAAATGTTACGTACGCGTAACTATTGAAACATACACTTGGAACATAGTATAATAATGAAAAAAAAAAATGCTGTGGTGCATCAGCGCGCGGCATACGCTCGAAAGCTCGAGCGAGAATAAACGTGAAAAATCACGCCACGGGGCATCCGAGTAAGCTTATTTTTTAATAAAAAGATTAAAAACTCGGCGGAGGCGTCGATTCTTCGTTGCCTTGCACTCTGACACAATAAAGCTCGGAGCATTATAAAAGTCTAAGATCGGATTTCAGCTATGACGATTTGAATTAAAACGAGTTAACGCGAACTTACGCGAAGGGACGTATTCGATCGAAGTGTGCGCGGCTAACGAAAAGTCAAACATCATAATGCTTCCAAAAACATAAGAAATCGTTGGCGTCGAGCTTTGAACTTCGTGTCGCGTAGACACGAGTACTATAGAGCGTCCGACAAATGTAAGCACGGTCAATCTTTCGAAATAAGCCGAATCTCTCTTTTCTATAGGGCCACGGTCGAAGCTTTTACATATCGGCGCTTTGGGCTCCGCAAGCTGCACAGAGCGCGGAGAAAGACAGGCGTACCGAGCGTACACATAATACAGGCTATCGTGTATGTGTGTATACACGAAATCCGAGCGAAATAGAAGAAGGGGAGAAGCGAGCGTAAAAAAGAAGAGAGAACGAAGCGAGCAGCGAGCTCGCGCACAGCGTTTTATACGGTCAGCGGAGCCAGTCGCCGCCTGACTTTGCGCGAAGTAAGGTGTGCAGAGCAGCGCAGCGCAGTCGGCAACTCCGCGCCGCAGAGAGAGAGAGAGAGCTCCGTTCTCCGGCTTGGCTTTTTAAAACTCACACACACATAAACGATCTATAGTATAGCGCCGCACACGTACGCTATACATACAGAGACGCGCTTTGAATTCCTTTCTCCTCTCACTCGAGAGAGGCAGAGCAGTGCCTCGCGTGTGTCTACGTAGTATACACGTACATATAGCTGCTGCTTTTTACTACGGTGCAGCACAGCAGCAGCAGCAAAGCCTGCATCAGTGAGTCCGTGTGTGTCGTGTGCCGTGTTGTTGTGTATCTGTATTGTGTTTATTCCATATATAGGGTGCGTCGAACGCGTCAACAATAACATAAACTGCGCTACGTTTATTCACTTTTTTCGTTGTTTGTCTCTTTCTCTCTCTGCAGCTGGAAATTGTTGTAATCGTAGCGCACATACACGCGACTTGTCAAATATCGCGCTAACTACTACGTGCTCGTCGCTGTGTGTGTGTGCGTACATATCCGTGACACACGTGCGTTTGATGTGTCGCAGCTCAGCTCGATGACACAAGCTTGACGTACAACAACGCCTAAAGAGGATGCATCCACGCAACGAGTCTGCTCCGATCTTCTTGTTTACATACGTCTTCTGCGCCTCTTAAGTCCATGTGTATGTTGTTAGCTGTGTGCGAGTGTTCTGTGTGTGTGTCTGTGTTTGTGTTTTGAGTGCGTCGTGCGACTTCTCCAATCGAATGTATCGGTGTCGAGCGACGTTGCCCGAGGCTCTCGCCGCTGCTGATGCTGCTTGTACCGCTGCCGTTCGCCTACATTGAGCCGCCAGCCAAGCTGCTCGTTGTTATTATACAGACATTCTCGCTGCAGCACCGAGAAAAACCCGCACGCGCGCCGCTGCGCGAATAACAAATAAATCGGTGAGTATATATTTATGAGCGCGTACGGCACTCGCGTAAATTCGATCCAGCTCCCTTGACGCCGAGCGCACTCTCGATGGGCGTCTCGCGATCGTTTTTTAAATCGAGCAAGTACTCGAAAGTTGTCGCGCGAATTTGGAGCAACGCCTGCGCCCGGCTATTTTTAATCTCATCGCTCTTTGTGCGTATTACGACGAACACGACGATGTACATACAGAGATAGAGCTGCGAGAGCTGCGCGAGAGGGAGAGAGAGATAGAGAGAGGGAGGGAAGGAGACGAGGAAGCAAATAGCTGCCGTTTGTTTTGTCCGAGTGCAGCATGTTTGCGCGACGTGCCAAACTGTGCGCGAGCTCTTTCTCTTTCTGGCTCTGTCTCTGTCTCTCTCTCTCTCTCTCTCTCTCGAGCGTGTCTCTCGCTCACGCGGAGGTGAAGGTCGCGCGGCGATCTTCCGAGAGATTGGCAAAGTTTCATTCTCGCGCCGACGATCCGATATATACGAGCCTATACATAAGTGTGCGGCATATACGCACGAAGGGCTCGATACAGACCTTCGACGAAGCGTCTCATCTCGTGCTACGCGTCGATTACGTTCGCTCGCTCGACGACGCGTAGTCGTCCACCGAATTAAAGCTTCCATCGAGTAAGCTTTCAGCCGAGCAAATGAACGATGTACGCAAAAGTGCAGCCTGACACGCGATCGTCGCTTACGTTCTCTCTCTCTCTGTATATTATAATCCAACTAAGAGACTCTTCGCGGCGAGCTGTCGATATTGCGTGTGCCTATCGGCCGAAGCTGTGTACAGCAGCATGTAAGGTATATATACAGAGATGCATGTGTTGCTGTGTGGCATTGATCTTTGCGCGCGCACAGAGAAAAAGAAGTCGGCAAACTGCATGTAGTATAAGAGCGGCGACACGCGAACGCGATGAAACGCCGCTCGTGCACTCGGCTCTTTTTTTCTTCTCTCGAACGAGATCAGGGCTAAATGCAACTTGCCACATTGTAATCGCAGCGTACACGTATGTATGTGTGTACAGCGCAGGATCGTCGAGCAGCGCGACGTCTCTCGCGCACCGTGCTTACCTCTCGCTGCACTCCGTACGAACGTCTCGCGAGGCAGGAATTTCTCACGAAGCGAATTCGTAATTGCGCTTAATGATATAGCCGAGAATGTGTTCATGGGCGTTGGTATACGATCTCGCGCGCGCGCGCGCCTACGTAAATGTGCTACGGGGGCTCCTCATTGTACGCTTAGGAGCGAGGGACATCGTTTCTCACGTGCGCTCGGCGGCAGAAAAGCCAGAGGAAGAAAAAAAGTAGCGTCATTTGGACGCTATGTGTACGAGCAGTGGCCGCCGCTTGCGTAATGCACGTTGTATGTAGTCTCGAGGAGATGTCTCGATGAAACAAATGATAATGACAACAGCGACGATGAGTGACGACGCGTCCCGGTCTAATATTATGTCGCGCGCGACATGTATCGTGCTCCGCACCTATACGAATATTGGAAAAAGCGAAACTCAACCGCGAGCGAAACTCCATAGTCGAGCGTTTCCCGCGCGTTCGACTTGAATTTTTTCTCACATTTCCGCATCGAGATCGAAACGAGAGAGATAATCGTGGCGGAATTCAGTTTCGCGCGCGCGTCAATGTCCATCGAGAGGCGTAATCAGTCGGTTCGTATATACGTATGGTAATAATCGTATATATATATATATATATATATTGTACATCTCAACGTAGTGCACAGTGCGATGGTCTGTTGAAGCTGGTCGCGTATATAGGCAGCTCCTATAATGTATGTGTATACGCGCGCCCGTGTATCGTTGCTTTATGCGTGCACTCGCCGAGTCTGCGGCGTTTATCTTTTCTTTATAGCGAAGGGGAACATTCCACGCTGTATGTATATACAAGGTGCTCGTGTATCCACGATATACTACCTACCTATATATACGTATTAACGAGTCGAGAAGCGAAGCGAGGCAGAGATTTCGAGCCGTCGGAGCGAATCCCGTTTACCCTTTACTATCGCCGTAAACGCTCGACCGAGGATGAAAAAAAAAAAAAAGAAAGAAAAATTTGTTCGCGCTATAAATGCGTGATGTATCGATGCTCCTATATACGCGACGAGAGACGACAATTTGAATTTTATTGAATATGTGTACGACGCGCAGCCGACGCTTCTTTGGAAAGTGCGTAGCGCAGAAACGGCTGCAGCGCACGGAAGCGCACGCGTGCATCGGCAATTTCACCGCGTGCCGAGCTCGCGCCTACATATAATATATACACCACCGTATACTCCTATTAAAGACGCGTTAGAAAGCGAGGAAAGCTGCGTTTATAGCCACACATACGGAGCATACTCAAGTGCGCACACCATTCCGGCACATTCGCCGATACGCGCGCCAATAAAAATATTCATGCACGATTATAATCCTATATCCCCTTATCTGGTAGCCGCGGAGAGCAAGCACGTATCCTATATAATAAAGACTAATTCTCGATGCTCGTAGTACGTATAGACTCCGTTGAATGTGCACTCGCTCGACTCGGTGCGTTCACCTGCTGGGCGCTCGAGACTTTCTGCTCGCGGTCGGTGCATTTTAGATTTATTACATACGCCGATCGCGCGCAAATTCATATTTGCGTTTCAGCATGCGGGCTGTAGCAGCACAGCCTAGCGAGAGAGAGAGAAAATCACGAGCGCGCGCGGGCAGACAATGAACGCACGAATCACGCCTCGCGCGCGCAGCTATACACACACTCGTGCACTCGCGTGCATAACTATGCATTTTTTTAAATTGCCAAGGCCTTTGTCCAACCATTATGCCGAGAACATTAGCTCGTGTCTTTATTTCAGAGGCGCTGCGCAGAGTCGTAATGTAGCCGCGCGCTCGGAGATTACATATACACTGATCGGCGATGAATCTCGAGCGAGACTGTCTCGATATACGAATGACTCTGCGCGGTACACGTGCACTCTCGCTCGCTCGCGATCCTCGGCTAAACGCAAAAAGATTTACGAAACCGCGAGCAATCGCACGCGCGAGTGTAATTATCCTGCGTCGCTATGTACCCATGCGCAGCGTACATAGCAGTCTCGAAGAAGCTCTCGAGCGCGCAATCGTTGCTTTTCATCGGCGCTGCAGATACGATGGATTGCGCGTACTGCGCGTCGTCGAGCTCGAGCATTTGCAACGATGTATATGTACATGCATTAGGCGCAAAGAGAGTTTGCCGATATGCAGCGTCGAACGTCGCGATCTCATCTTTCGATTCGTACTCGCGACGCTACGTATACGTGTGCGTGGGCGAGGCTCGCTCAAATAGAACTTGCAATTATATACGCGAGTATGCCGAGAGTCGTGCCTTCGACTTGGCCGATCCGAGAATAAATTCTTTTCTTGGCAATTGCTTTGGATACTTTCGAAATTTCGACTGCTAGCAGCTATTGAAAATTCGCCTCACGTGTCTAACTATAGGTGTATATATATTATGTATACTATTTTTCCCACACGCTCTGCGCTCCCGCGCATCTATGTAGCGCGCGATGTGCAGTGTCTGCATATATACATGCGGCATCGCAATATGGATGTTGGTGCGCTTCGGAAATGTACGAACTCGTATCTCTCGGCCAAAAAATGTCACGTGCTACATACACATACGATACATACACTTGCAACGGCCATGCAAACAACGCACGCACACGCGATCGCGAGAGCTGAATCATTGGGTACGCTCCAATGCAGCACACGAGTGCAGTGTATATGGCAAAGCGCCCCGGCGTCTCGACTGCCTCTGTATATAATATAAATTTTCTTCTTCTAATACTCGACTGCCTCTTCGTGTCGTGCGGGTGTGTGTATATTTTATATTCGAGCGGGCCAGCAACGTGACTCTTTTTTAACGCGGCGCGTACTTACATTTATTTCAAATTTCGTTATGTAAGCAGCAGACTGCGAATAATATAGGTGCTACATTGCTGACTAGTGCCGCTTGCAGTTATTAACATTTTTTTTTTATATACATATATTACGAGTGTTACAGTCAACTTATTTCAATTCTTCAAACTTAAATACTTGATTGTAAATCAGTTCGATACACATTTTCACTTTTAAGTAGTCAACTGAACTTGCTACGTGAAACCAATTGCTCGATAATGTAAACGTCAACGTATAGTTGCGCTGACAAGCCATTAAACCATGTTACATCGTATTAATGGTAAAAAGGTATTGAACAACGAAGGAAAACTGAAAGGGTCTGCCCCTCAAGAATACTTGACAGGCTGTAAACGTTGGAAAATTCCGAGCTAGCCGAGATTCAAAAAAAAAAAAACAGTGGAGTAGACATTTTTTACTCGAATGTAGCGTAAAATAATCCAAGCCGAAGAGGAAGCTGAGCTAATATATTTTTCGCCGACTGCGCTGCTAGCTAGCTAGCTCTTGCAATATTCCCAAAAAAGATATGTAACAGACATACTTGTAATAAACGGGGAGAGAGAGAGGATCAAAGCTTCAGAAAAAAAACATAGATTTACGTGTTTTTGCAGTTCTGGAAAAATAAAAAAATTGTGGGAAATTGATTTTTTTTCACGCACTTTGTGGGAACGTTGGGAAAAGGAAAAAAAACCAAAAGAGGAAACCGAGCTGCAGACATCGGTTATAAATCACCGACTCGAAGGATGATGCCATTGCGCCTTGCGGTGCGAATATATCGCTGCACAGGTGCAGCGAGTAGAGTGGGAAATACGTTGAAAAATGAGGAAAATATGCGCCGTCCGGTTTAATAAGAAATTACCAATAACTGCTGACTCCGCGCGCAGGAAGGACTTATTAAATATTCGCAAACAGAAATGAAAATTCATCAAAACGCTCTGACTAATGAAAACGTCAATGCGATATACGCTCGTGTTTTTTTAAGATAGACTAACATATAATTTGTAAGTCTTTGTCTACTTTTTTTTTTTAAACATGCAAGTATAATGTTGAATGATGCAC